AAAATCAACAATTAAAGGTAAAGCNCAATCAGCCATCTATAACATCATTCACGAACAGTTGGATGTTATACTCTACATTGCATTAGGGCCTAACTTCTTTGAGACAACAAGTACCACATCTATTTCCCATCTTCACGAATGACGTGTCTCTTCCCACTATACATCGTGCAAATTCTTTTCTAGACAGCAAATACAAGACAAATACATACACCCTGAAATTGTGTAATTAACTTGTGATTGTTTTTTATCTACTAGCAATCACTTGTTCAACTAAAGCTCTCACGATATCCTGAAAATAGAACACATATCATCTTCACAATGTCAAGCTCTTACGAATCACAAACACAAGGCACAATTATGGAATGATATGGAATATAATGTACTCCTCACTTCTAAATGTCGTTCAAATCTTATAAGCTCTTACGAACTTCGTCTTATACTTCGACTGCAATAGCCAACTGTCTTGTGTTTAAAGACATTTTTGTTACTGCAGCGATTTGATTGGATTGTACGATAGAGCATACAGCCAATCAAAGGCCCCGACAGACTAAGTCATAATGATTATATAGCCTTCAATCCAATCAAAGCTCTGCATTTCGCAATATAAGAAAGGTGACTATTGCAGTCAAGGTATAAGTATAAGTTCGTAGTAGCTTGACATTTTGAAGATGAGGACATGTTAAACGTGGCTTTAAAATTTGTGAACTCTAGCTCTCATTTTCACTCCCGGTCGAGTCATGATCTCAGCTTTCTGTTATATGATGTCTTTCGAGTCGAATTTACAAATTTAATCAGCAAGCTCCATACTATCACTTTCCTTTTCTGTTGTTCCAGGTATTTGTAGGCTAGTTCATGAAAATTGCAAAACCTTTCACGACCTACTTTTGGATTTGTTGCCTTCCCTTGATGTCGCTGTCTCGTTTATGGGGCGTCTTTTTTTAAAACAATTTTTAACCTGCAGCTAATAATGTGTTGTATTTTCTAGAATGTACAATTCCAGCAACAACGAGCAACTATTCAACTATAAGCATCTTAATTGTATTGTCTTGGTACAGGCCTATATCTCAGTTTCTCTTCCTTGTTTCATTACAGAAAAAGAAAAGAGAGAAAGACGAGAAAATGTTGACTAAAACAATAATTTTAAACATTTAAAGCATCTGTTTACCTTAGTTTATATAACTAGTTAAATAACAACTTTAATTACAAAACACTATTATCTTTATACTGGCAGAATGAATGAAGGATTGTATGAATGAATGAATGAATGAAGGATTGTATGAATGAATGTATGAAGGAATGAGCAATCGGACGAACAAATGATTCAAAGGGTAAGTGAAGAAAGAAAAGTATGAATAAATAAATGTTGATGGTTTTAATTACGTTAAATACAAAACATTAATACACTGAACAAGATAAATAATTAAAAGAATGAATCACCGACAAACTCAGTACATGTATCTAATTCAAATGCAGATTTAGATGTTCGTTTTGTGTTTTTGCTGCAATCATGGCTCATTTTTAATATTCTCTCATGCCGCAGATATTATCAAAATTTGACATGATCGAACATTGAACCAAGTCCACGGGTCCCCGTCTCTAAGAAGAAAAAAGGAGAAAAAAAAATGCAGAAAAGCATATTTTGGGAAAACATTCTGTGAAAGGGTGCTTCAGCCCACTTAAGTCTACCAGCCACGGTGATAGATCTGCTTGGTTGGATGACCCATTGGTCAAGAATGGTATACAGGTGAAATATTTAATAAATTCAAAACTTTTTGGTTGATTGAATCGACTGCCCCCTGTCAAGTATGAACACGGATATCCTCTTCTAGAATAATAACTAGAGAAAAGAGAAAGTTACACAACGAAGGGATTAAACTTTCTGACACTTGGATTAACAATTATTTTATAGGACAAGACAATCATAAATAATCATAATCTCGTCCGTTCATGGTCAACCTATAAAGAGTAAAGGTAAAGACTTGGAGAGGGGTGGA